AAAGGAAGCCGCACGGAAAATCAAAGTACGACCGGATTTGACAAGTGCCCTGTTTCATTTCACGTTCGTCAAGAGACAAATCCGTCAGGAGTCTATTGACGAATGGAAACGGAGATACCAGGAAGAATCAACTGCCTCGACCCACAAAAATATTCTTACCCAATGTGGTAGACGCATACCAGGTGGTGAGAAAAATAGAAATGGACTCATCCTCGTCCAAGCGCTCACAGGCCACCCCACGGCGCTTTCGCAGCATATCTGCACCGCTTTGAGTGCAAGGGGGACGCCCAGCATGCGACTGCGATACGGAAGTCGAACAGACAGCTGTACATTCTTGCTGGTTTAGAATGTCCCGGCCTACGCGACCGAGCGAGTGGACCTTGAAACTTAGGCTAAAACACAAAAATGACCGTAACTAACTTAGCTGAAATATTAAGAAATAAAAGCACTCAGAGGGCCTTTTGTACCAATATTGTAATAAAATAGTTAAATCAGCGAAATACAAATACAAAAAAACAGATAGAAATGTAAAAGGGGATTTGGGACATATACTTAAAAGTATATTTCACAAACCCCGCTCTAATTAAGATAAGGTATATAATAAACGTTAAGTGAACAACTGTAATAGAGTAAAGTAAGAATTGAAAAGCAGAAAGAAAATTGTCAATACTAAGTAAAAATATGTAGAATGTTTAAGATATATTAGTGTAGCGTGCAATAGATTAGATCTATATAATGTAATTTAGAATAGTAAGAAAAGATAAAGCTAAGTAACTTGGTAATGTAAGGTAGGAAATTGTATTGTATAGTTTGTAATAGTAGTGTTGTATAGTTTGTAACAGAAGTAAGTTAAGTAGTACTGTAAAAGAATAGCTATAGTAGTATTAAACATAGAAATATAAAATAAAAATGTATTAAGTTTAAGGGACCAGTGTAAACAAAAAATCTTAAAAGAACATACAAAAAAGAGCTGCCAAGGGCCCTGACCTCCCATGTCAGGGGAATCAGAAAAAAAAAAAAAAAAAAAAAAAAAAAAAAAAAAAAAAAAAAAAAAAAAAAAACCTAACCTAACCTAACCTAACCTAACCCTAACCAGAAACCTAACCTAAACCTAACCTAAACCTTTTTTTTTTTTTTTTTTGTTTATTTTTTTTTTTTTTTTTTTTTTTTTTTTTTTTTTTTTTTTAACGATGGGAAATGCATCATGCATACTCTCCTTAGGGGAAGCAAGGAGAGTTATGTTGGACTCCCGCTCTGAGAAGGGCAGACCTACCAACTCAAAAACCCATCGGGTGTCCTCCTCTGCCGTTCAAATGCTGGATTGCAGGGCCCGCTTAAGCGATTTCTGCTGCAACCCAGCCACGGCTACCCCGACCCTGCACAGGGCTGGGGCACACCACGAAGGGACTTTTGTCCCCGTTCTCCCACATGGAGTGCCCATTGACCCCAACCAGTGGGCACTTAGTCTTCGCGGGGCCTCATACCGTTAGGTGACAGACGACGTCTGTTTACCACTGTAACTTTGCGTAACTTCAACCGATTTTAATCATCCAAAATTATCTAGCTTCATCTTATTTTTCCCCACCGAAACCCATCAAAAATTTTCCGATTTTCTCCACTTTAATTTTCACTTTTCTCAAATTTTTCAAATTTTAATCCCCCATCACTTTTTAGTTTACCGACCGATTGTCTTGTTATTTTATTTTCTTGTTGTTACAGTACCCCCCCACAGTATCCGATAAAAATTTTCCCCCATTTCATCCATCTTCACACATTTCCCTGTTTTACCTTTCTCGATTTTTAGCTCGTAAACTATCTAACTGATCGTCGTCGTTTTTTGTATTTGGTAGGCGTTAAATACCCTCTATAACCGACATCAGTCAGAATTTTCAATTTAAAATTTTTTTTTATACAAACCACTTATTTTCTTAGAATAATTTTTTCACATTTTTAAATTCTAATTTCTTCAATTATTTTTTTGTACTTTTTATTCTTCCTTTATTACATAGAAACTAAATAAGCGCACAAACGCTCATACTCACTTTTTCCAATTTTCGGCATATTCATAATAAAAACTAACAAAAACCTCCCCATACATTACGCAATAAAATTAAATATACACTTACCTCCAATTTTCAAATTTCTTCCGGTTTTCTGCACTCACCAGCTCCGCACCACTCCAGAAACGCCGAACCTGCAAAAAATACAAATCAATTAGCGCGAAATAATGGTCACCCCAATCATCTGGAAAGAACTAATAAAATTGCAAAGAATCAACGTAGACCATCAGAAAATCCACGTAGAGGAGTTCTCCACACACATGCAGTGCTTCAGATGCTTACAGTTCGGCCACAGCAAAAACCACTGCACGGCGGAAACCCAGCCGTGCTCCCACTGCTCCGAACAAAATCATTCCTTTGCAAACTGTCCTAATAAAAAAGACCAAACAAAAATCAACTGCTTCAACTGTGCCAACCACAACGAAAGATACAAATTAAATCACGATACCAAACACTCCGCCACCTCCAACTCTTGCCCAATAGTTAAATCTATGATCCACCGAGCTGCTCAGAAAACCGATTATGGATACTAAAACCGGCAATCAAAAAACTATCAAATGCCTCCAAATAAATTTAGACCGAGGATACGCAGCAGCCCAAGAAATGTATAAATATATAACAGACAACAAAATAGATATAACATTTGTATGTGAACCATATATAGGAAAAAATAAATATATATCAAACCACCCAGAATACAAAACATATCAGTTCCCAAAACAAGAACACACTAAAGCTGGAATAATAATAAAGAAACAAATAGCAGGAACTTTAGCCATCTCACAACATTCTACGCCAAACCTTGTAATAGTACAACTCACAATAGCAGGAAAAAACCTATACCTAATCAGCGCATATATCGAACCCAGAGAAGACAAATACAGACACTTTGCAAAAAATAGACCAATTCATTCAAATAAACTCCAACACCACCTGCATACTCTGCGGAGACTTTAACGGCTGGCACACACAATGGGGATCAATCAGAGATAATCGTCGTGGCAATAAAATAATGTATCTAATCAACACCAATAACCTATATATTTGCAACACTGGAAACAGCCCAACATACGAAACAATCACACACAACGAATACAGACAATCTATAATAGACCTAACCTTAACCTCCAACCCAAATATAATATCAAAATGGAATGTCAATCTAGAAATCATCCCTTCCTCTGGCCACAACGCTATCACATTTGAAATAACAATCAACAAAAAAGACTTACAGAAAGCTAAAAAACTATCAACATACAAATACAATACACAAAATATAAAATGGGACGAAATATCAGAAACCTTCAAAAAAGAAGTCGATAAAAAACTACCAAACTGCGAAATTGAAAGCCTAAACACCAACCAACTTGAGCAATACATAAGGGAAATGACATCTGCCATACAGAGCGGCTGCGATAGAATTCTCCCACGTCCAAGGGGACGCGAAACACGCAACCCCTGGTGGACTGAAGAGCTAGAATCAATGAAAAAGGAGCTAATCCGCAAACACCATACCATCCAAAAACTCAAAAAGAAAAACCTACCCATGACTGAAATATTAGAAGAAAGAAACACGCTCAAGAAACAATATACAGAAGCCCTCAGCACCACATCCAGTAATCATTTCAAAGATTTTTGTACTAAACAAGGCAAAGACGACGTTTGGTCATTAACCAATAAACTGCTGAAAACCAAACCATTAACACAACCACCCACAAACATCAAACTCAAAAATGGCACATATACGGAAAACAGTAAAGAAGCAGCGCAAGCAATTCTCAACGACCACTTCCCCGACGATACTCCCGATCGAACACAAGAACAACATAACGCCAGAAACATAACAGATAAAACCCCTAACACAAGCTCAGAACCTCCTTATCACAACTGACGAAATAATAAATGCCTTGATCTCGATGAACCCGAAAAAATCACCAGGACAAGACCACCTCACCGCAGACATATGCCTCTGCTTTGCAAAAACTCACCCCGACATTATCACTAAAGTGATGAACAAATGCTTAGAATCAAAATACTTCCCAATAATTTGGAAAAAGGCCATAATTAAAATGATACCCAAACCCAACAAAACAGACCACTCACAAACGTCATCATACCGACCAATAGGCCTAATAAATGTTTTTGGAAAACTATTAGAAAAATTAATCACCCAACGACTCACGCATCACATCTCAATCACCAATTCCGGAAGCCCCAGACAATACGGATTCAAAGAACAAACAAGCACAATTAACGCCATAACTCACCTCATCAACAAAATAGAAAGAGCAAAATCTAGAAAGGAACACGTACTGGCAGTCTCCCTGGATATCCAAGCGGCGTTTAACAATGCCTGGTGGCCCTTAATTCTCAAACGACTACATAAAATCAAATGCCCGGGTAACCTATATAACATAATAAGAAGTTATCTCCAAGATAGAGAAGCACAGATAGAGTTCGCAGACAGCTCAGCTACTAAAACGATAACACGCGGATGTATCCAGGGATCAGTCTGTGGCCCTACATTCTGGAACTTAATTCTAGATGACCTCCTGGAAATGGAAATGCCAGAAGGCTGTCACCTGCAAGCATTCGCCGATGACATCACACTTACTGTACACAACAAAGATCCCAGAATAGTACAAACCAAAACCAACAACTGCCTGGAAAAAATATTGAACTGGGGTAAAAACGCCAAACTGACATTCGGACCTGACAAGACACAGTGCATTGCATTCACTAAAAAATTAACAACACTCCCCATAACCATGAATAACTATCAGCTCAAATTCAACAATAAAATCAAAATCCTTGGTATAATAATAGATCAAAAACTCCACTTCACCCAACACATAGACTTCGCAATAGACCGGATACAAAAATTATACCAAAAACTTTGTAAATTTGTCAGACCAACATGGGGAATTATATCCGAAAATATAAAAACCATTTATAACCAGGTCATTCAACCAATTATATGCTACGGATCTAGCATTTGGCAAAGAGCACTACAGTACGACTGCGTCAAAAGAAAATTATTGTCCGTACAAAGAAGCTATGCCATTAAAATTATTCGTGGATTCCGAACCGTGAGCACTGCAGCGTCAATATCATTGGCACAATTAACACCCCTACCGGCCAAAATTGCTGAAACAGCAGAAATAGAAGCAACTAGAATCACCGGAACCTCGAGAGCATTACCACTGGATATTAAATTAGACATACCGGCACATCCATCCACAGTATTACACCCAGCATTAAGACCAAAAATTGAATACATAGAAGCAGACAGTGAACAAGCAATCGCAAACCTCGCCCAACCGGAAACCTACAAGATTTACACAGACGGAAGTAAACATGACGACAGAGTGGGGGCAGCATACATAATCCACACCCCAATAGAAAATAAAATATGCAAGAAATTCAAATTACACAATAGTTGTACAGTATTCCAGGCAGAACTACTGGCCATCAAAAAAGCATGTCACTGGATAATTGAAAACAACATCCATCAATCAATTATCATATCAGACTCACAATCAGGACTAACAGAAATAACTAACCAAAACACTAGAAACAAAATTGTTACCGAAATCCATCACTCTGTCTACAAAGCTAGCACAAAAAACCAAACGATTAAATTTGTATGGGTAAGGGGTCATGCGGGGATAAAAGGCAACGAGGAGGCAGACGAAGCAGCCAAAGCTGCTGCTAATAAACACACAAAACCCGACTTCGCACTATTTCCCATGAGTTACGCAAGAGCAAAAGCTCGGTTAGAAAGTCAACAGGCCGCAACAGAACTCTATGCCAAATGCACATACACCAAACAACTATGCCCAACATTCGAATCCCTCCAAGAAGTACTTAAAATACTAAAACCCGAACTACGTTATTACGCAAATACTTACCAACCACGGACATCATAAAGAGTACCTCCACAGATTCCGAATCACCGATGACGACCGATGCCCCTGCGACATCTCCCAAAAACAGTCTCTAACACATTTAATCAAAGAATGCACAAAATTCGCAAGAACTAGAGTAGACCACGAAATGACAGCCATATCCATGAAAATAGACCCATTTAATCTAACAGAAATAATAAGTAAAGAATCAACAACTGACACATATACACAACATCTGAACAAAATCATATTAAACCTAAAAGATTTCAATAAACAACCAAACAACAACATAAGAACCACTTAAGTCGCTAAAAATATATAAATATCCTTAATATAATCGTATGTATAATTATAATGGTATCTATCAATATAAACATATATATAAATAATATTTAAGTAATTAAGCAATTAATTACAACGACCCAAATCCTAAACAAATCCGAAAAGTAAATCCAATAAAACCTAACCTAACCTAACCTAACCTAACCTAACCTAACCTAACCTAACCTAACCTAACAACAAAATGAGTCAAAACATGTATGCTGTCAAATCTCATCTCACGCGGTTGATTTATATGTTTTCATTAATTTTCTTATAATTGTTAGAATCCAGTCTGTGTAAATAGGGCATCATAGTGATAAGTTAATTTTGAACATCTTTCGACGAAAATAAAACAAGCATTAAAAATATATATCACTTTATAATTTTAAAGTACAAAGACATATTGTAATAATTAAACAACCATAGATTTATTTTTAATATTTAACAATACAAAAAACAACACTTCTGTCGTATGTGCATAAAGGGCTATGCCCACTACTCGCATTAGCAGTTTAACATAGCATGCCAAAGGCGATGTAATCAACAAGAAACAACCATCCTCATCTATAGAATCTCGCAAATGAATATCGAGAGAAATTAATCGATTCAATGTCGACCGTTCTCCATTTAGTGTACGTCGCACCCTAGGTATTATTACGACATTTTCACCTACAGCTGAATTAATTCGTAGACACGATAAAAACTAGTCTTCAATACACAATTTTAACCTAGAACTACAACATCGTTGATATTTTAGAAAAATAATATTTACAAACAATATTTGAGTTTTACTATTTACGAAATAAACTTTGTACAGCATGCGCTATGTTTTATTTACTTCCATATCGTAAATGTAATAAAATATACATTATAATTTACTTTGCTCAGAGCTGCGTGTTCATTTACTCCGGGAATTAGGAAATCTTCGTTAGTCGTTAAAGCGAATATCGAGGGCAAAACAATTCCATATAGACGTAAAAAGGATATAATTATCTTATTATGTAACATTGATAATATTGCCAACTTTCAGCTCTAATAAGCTCAAAAGTTATTAGTTTGTTTTGAAGATGATGGGTATCATTTGTGTTAAAAACTATTGCAATAATATTATAACAACGCAATGGACGGCAGCAAGCTTGGCATACGCCGAAGCTAATTTGTATTATACTAATATTATATAAGCATAAGTACCGAAATATATTCAATACAAAATAAATGCGAAATATTGTTGCATATTTTTTAACCCTAATGTTATTGTTAATAATAACATAATGTATATTTAATTAAATGCATAAAGATAATACAGTATATTAAAACGGCCGAGCACGGGCCAAAGCATCATACATAATTAAGTGGGAATTGCTTTCGAATGGGAATTGAATGTTATTAATTGCATGTGTGTTTCAGCTGCGCCAAAGTAAAGAATGAAAAGACCTGAATTAAAATATTGATTAAGAAATCCATCCAGTTCAAGTTCCAACCTACATCGAAGACTACTCGATAACATCGGGCAACAGTGTTACCGTTTAATTGACTGCAACATTAAAGTAGCAACCGTGTCGCCTACAAGAGCATGGAGGTGATCGGGTTGTATCTCATGATCTTGGAGAGGAGGATCCAGAGCAGCGCAGCGGTGGCGGCGAGCGCCACGCCCGCCCACGCCAGCTCCAGCGACCACGCGGTGCCGAAGGCGCGCGCCGCCAACAGCGCCGCGGCCGCCGCGCGCGCCCCCACCACGCCGTCCGCGCCCCCGCCCCCCGCACCGCCCCCGCCCCCGGAAACGCCCCCGCCAGCGCCCCCGCCGCCGCGAGTCAGCTCGCGCTGCACGCGCTTCCAGTGCATGATCAGCAAAGTGAAGGTGGCGAACAGGCCTGTGCATCAGATCGTAATATGACACTTAAGCGTCACCACCCATGTCGTCTCTCCCATATGCCACGAGGCTCTGGAGTCGAGAAATCATTTACAATGATCGATTGGCAACGCTTGCAAAGAATTCGTATTATCTTGATATAAACAATAAGAAATAAATTTAAGACTACCAAACGATAATTCTGGTCGAGTAGAAAAACGATGCGTACCAGCCAATAAGTACATGACCCCGGTGACCAGCACTGCACTGATCTGGTGCTTGCAGACGCCGAAAGCGCCGACCAGTGCCGCGCTGCCGAGCACGATCAAGCAAACCAACGCGCAGGATATTGATAGATTCTGCATTCCTGTTTCACAACGCACGCTTTTATTTTCTTCATGTCTGTTTCTTCAACATCCGAACATGAAACGGTGGTACCTTGTATTACACTGTATCCTATAGAACCAACCGTAATAGACAAATCATAGAATTAAGAGGAGTTTGAAAAATAATTACAACTGATGAAAATATGACCACATAATATTTTTTTTTAAATTAATAGACCAAAGAAAACTCTATTTATACTAAAAAGTTTATTATAATATAATCAAATGTTGAAAATCTAACTTATACAGTGTGTCTTTACAATCGCGACAATAAATGAACACACATATAGAGGATAACTTTTTAAAATTGTATTAAACATATACATTCTTTAAACATCAATTTTTACCGAATTATTAAATTTTCCAAAACAAAGAATTTTAGAACACCGAAAGAAAGAAAGAAAACATTTATTGCTCAAATACGCCACATAAAATAAACATAAAAAATACATAGTAAAAAGAAAAAAAAATGTGTGCGTACTAGCGTAAATTAGATAAAGTTTAATAAAAGGCTTTTATTATCATAGACATAATAAAAATTCTACAATTATTTCATTTTAGCTTTGTATAATATTTAGTTTCTTATTTGTAATACATAGGTGGCGTTAGTAATAAATTAAAACACACTATGGTTTGACCGTTGTAATTAGTGTCCGCGAGGGTCCGCAAAAATTGTTGATTAAAAAACTTGCAACGTGAACCTTGTTTATTTCAATTAACCTCACGGACCCAAAATACAACCGCTTTGAAATTGTACATGGTCCTTCGTTGCCGAATAGTCAGCCAGTGAGTAGAAGGCAGACATTCGACTCGCGCGCGAGTGTTGTGAGTGAAGTTTTTTTTGAAAACCGAACTTGCGGACGTTGGATCGACGTCGCAACCGCAAGTTCCAGGAGCCGATCGAGGTTTCGAAGAGCATCATCGGTCAGCTTCAGATTGTGTCTTCGGTGGAAGGCGCAGTCAGGTCACGGTGGGCGGTGCCTGCCTTTGGAGAAGAGGAAGTCGACACAGTGTCGTGCTCTGAAGTATTAGAGCTAGCACTGTCATTACTACAAAGATTATTATTGAATTTCATTAATTGTTATAGAATTATTACTGTCATTGATGTCGTTATTATATATTTGTGTTATTAATGGCTTATGGTAACTGAAATACGAAATATATTGTTAACATTTTAGAGTTAGAATTAAAATAAACCCTTTGATTTTGCTGATCACTTTAATATAACATATATATATATTGCTATGAACACACAAAGGAACTAACGCCATCTAGCGTCAACTATTAAAACCACTAAAGAATAAAGACGACATAAAACCCCCTATTCAACACTAGATGGCGTTAGAAGAACATTTTAAGATAAAAAAAAGATGGCGCGTAACGGAAAAATGTTACACAAAATTGTTTTCCAACCCCGATAAAGAAGTTTCACTTCAAAAAAGATGGCGCGTAACGGAAAAATGTTACACTAAATTTTTTTCCAACCCCGATAAAGAAGTTTCACTTCAAAAAAGAGGAATAAAAAATATTAAACACATCACACACTTTACGCACACAATTGTGTGTGGCGTATACGGCAAACAGACCGCACTCAGCTTAATGCCGCAGTCGATACGAGACTACAGCGCTGGTTTTCAGTGGGCCTGTGAATTAAGTGACGTACGGACGTTCACACCGTCATTCAAAGACTAATAATAATTAACATAGATTACATGAATGAACTAACTGGATCTAATGAAAAATAAAAAAAAGAAAAACAATGTCCGAAACATTTTAAAAAGTATTGTTATCACCATAAGAGTCATGTATACTATGAGGTATTAGTTGGAAATAATGTAAAAGATACACTAAATGATGGTACCCTACAAAAATATTTTCTCACAGGTATGTAATCATAACCATAATCTTAAGCAACAATATTATAATTAGAAACAATATTTTAATAAAGTCAATAATTAATAGCATGAAAAAAAATTTTTTTCAGCCTCAGTCACGCGTTCAATTCGTTCGCTCCTTATCTTCGTGTTTTGCTATTTTTTGTATTTGCTGAGCCGTACCTAGAATCATATATTTAGATTTGCTTCCATTAAGGACTAATGCGTTCGAATCTGACCAAGCTGCAATTCTTTCGAGATCGTCATTTAATTTTTCC